CCTCCTCCACCTCATCATCAGCAGCACAAGAAGCAGCAGTCGTACACTTCGCCGCCGCCGCCGCCGCCGCCGCCCAAGGAGGAAAACGTGAAGATCATCTACAAATGTAAGCAGCAGCAGCAGAAAAAAGCTTTTCTGTACAAACAAAACTAACATTCTTTTCAATCTTTTCAATCTCCTAGACGTTGAAGTCTGCAATCCTAGCTCCTATGAGAAACTTCAACCTCAATCTCCTTCTCCTCCTCCTCCTCCTCCTCCTCAGCCGTCGTACAAACCTCAACCTCAGCAGTCCAAACCACAGTACCCAAACCAGCAGGGCCAGCAAAAGCCGAACCCGTACGTCGAGGTGGCCGGAAGCCTCGCCTCGCAGTACCCAAACTCCGGCGAGCCGCTGAACCTCGACCTTGCCTCCACTACCTCCGAGGCGGCCGGAAGTGCCCAGGACAGCCAGGCGGCGCTCGCCTCCGTCTACGGCGAGATTCACCGGCGAATGGCCGAGCTGGAGCAGCTGCAGCGATATGTGGCTTCGGTTCAGGCGGAAGTTCAGCAAGCTTACACGCCCATCGTCATACCGCAGATCTACGTGCCGCCCATGCCGACCTTAAGTTACAGCTCAGTCGGTCCTAGCTATCTTGAGCCTCAGGTGCCGAGTACCTACTACAGTCCTGTTCCTGCTTCAAATTATCCTCCACCACCACCACCACCACCTCCAAAACCTGCTGCTGTTTCCTATTCACCCCCACCTCCTAAACAGCAAGAGTACAAACCGCAGCAGCAGCCGTCGTACAGCACTCCCAAGCCACAGCCGTCGTACAATACGCCCAAGCCGTCGTACAGTGAGCCTAAGAATCAGCCACAGCAGTCGTACAACAGCGGCCAGCCGTACAACGGCAACCAGATGACCGTACAGTACGTGAAGACGGTGGAGAAGGTGTCGCAGAATGCCACCAGCCCTGCTGCTGCTGCTGCTTACTGAAACTGAAACTGATTGAAAAGAATGAAAATGATGAAAGTTGAAGTGATTATCAGTGTCCCTGTGTGTGCGGTAACCCAAAAGTGTGTGTGTGTGTGTGTGTCCATAAATAAAACTGACTTGATTTGGGCAAACTGATTTGGTGATTACTGAAGTGAACTTTGAGCGCTCACACGTACTTACGCATTTTGCTTTTCTCCTTTCCTCCTTTTCCTTCTTTTTTGATGAGATTTTTAAGATAGTAAAAGTGAGCTTTGGCTTTGCATGCAAAAAACGTTGCTTCAGCTGGGAAATGAAGAGAAGACATCAGCAGCAACGGCAGAAAAAGTTGTCACACTGCAGCACTGCAGCACTGTTTCTGCTGAGGTCAGCTGCCCAGTCAGTCAGAGAGGCGCTTGATGAGGAAAAGAGCAGCGCCGATTGATTTATTATCACTCTACTTTGGGCGGCCGTGACCGTGATTGATGACTGCCAGAACGAGTGCAACTGACTTGCCGATCAGTGACTAGATGGATGGCTGCTGCTGCAAATGCAAAGTGTAGCGATTGTGTGTGTGCGTCTATTCTTTGCCGACTTTCCTGAAGGGGCCAAAATATGACGCAGCGGCAACTTGGACTCTTTGTCGGTAAACGAGGATGCTGTTTTCAGCTGCTGTGGCCACACAATCACCACCACCAGTTGATGATCATGATCAAAGTGGTGAGCAGTCACTTGGTGGTGGTGGTGGTGAACACCGTTGGTCAGCAGTTTGATAAGAGGAGGCAGAGGAGCCCAAACTGCTGTGGTGATTACTATCACCACTAGCGCATAGAAGTTGATAAAAGAAGCAAGCTAAAGAGCTATGAGTTAAAATGATGAGGCCGGCAACTCTCGGCTGTGTGTGCTGCGTGTGCACCAGTTGCTATTTCTGCTGACAGTCCGAAAGCGGACTGAATGTCGTTTCGGTGCCGTCAAAAAGTGGTTGCCTGGCATCTTGGCAAGTCCTTGGCAGCAGCAGTAAGAGATGGGCAATGCCGAAAGCTAATGCGTAGCGTAGCAACCTAAGGACAGTGTCACCAGAAGTCTTCGGCAGTCAGCGTCGTTTGGTGCGGTAGCAGCCAGCCAGCCAGACAGTGTGATCATCAGAGGCTCAGAGAGCTGCAAGCACTAGCCAGTGGACAGGACAAGCACTTATTCTGGTCCATCATTAGTATCATCATCCATTCTGTTCTGCTTTGCCTTGTTTTGATTTACCCCTTTGTGTGTTTTTTACCAACCGGTTATCATCAGAGCACACCTGCTGATAAGAGATCTTATCAACACTCAGCACAGCAACAAACACACATACAGCTGGTCAACTCTCTGATCATCACCACCACCAACAGCGAAGATGGGCCCAACGAACTGTGGCGCCCTGCTCAAGCTGCTCACCTTGGCCGCCCTGCTGCTCCTGCTGGCGGGACCCGAGCCGGGCATCAGAGCCCAGATGCCCATGCCCGGCAGTGGGCCGCCGATGATGCAGCCGGTCAGGCAGCAGCAGCCTCAATCGGTGCTGCAGCAGCAGCATCAGCTGATGATGAGACAGCAGCAACAGCAACAGCAACCTCCTCCCCAGCAAGGTCCACCACCACCACCTCCTCAGCAAGGTCAACCTCCTCCGCCGATGCCTCCTCCGCCGGGATTCATCCCACCGGGGCAACAGCCACCTCCTCCTCCTTCTCATCCTCAAGGTAACCTTTCTCATCTTTGATAACTAAATTATCAAATTATCAACTTATTAAATCACTAAACTCCCAAATTTTTCCCCCTTTTCCCAGTGATGAAGATGCCCCCTATTACCATTGACCCCGTCACCGGGCGCTCCCTCTTCAGCAACTTCGGCATGGACTTCTTCAGCAGCGGAAAGGCAAAGATTGAATCACATCTTGAAGGTGACGACGGCGAAGGAGAGTACGATGAAAAGGGCGGCAAGGGCAAAGGTCACGACCTTCACGAGAAGTTCAAGGGCGAGCTGAAGAAGTTCGAGAAGGGTCACAAGGGCGGAAAGGACGAGTACGGCGATGATGAGTATGGGAAGGGCGGAAAAGGTGGTGGCGGATACGAAAAACCGAAGAAGGGAAAGGGCGGAAAAGGAGGTAACATTATTTTGCAAAAATACACTTTTGAGTACTAAAAAACTTTATTTTAATTTCCTTTTTGCAGGCTACGACGAGTACGAAAAGTCCAAAGCACCGAAAGGCAAAGGCAAAGGCGGCTATGAAGACGAATATGATGAAGGCGGCTATGAAAAGCCAAAGAAGGGCGGAAAACCTGCTAAAGGTGGCTACGGAAAAGAAAAAGAGTACGGCGACGGCTATGAGACCAAGGCCGCCAAGGGCGGAAAGGGCGGAAAGGACGGCTATGAAAAGGGTAACTTTGCTTTCTGATTTTTAACTACCAAAAACTGATCAATTTTTTCAATAGAATACGAGCCCGAGTACGAACCATACGAAAAGTCAAAGCCAATGAAAGGAAAGGGCGGAAAAGGCAAAGACCCCTACGCCGAGGATGAGTACTACGAAGAGGAAGACGCCTATGAAGCAAAGCCGAAGAAGGGCGGAAAACCTCCTAAAGGGGGCGGCTACGCTGATGACGGCTACGGAGCTCCGCCCAAAGGGGGCGGAGGCTACGGAAAGGAACCCGCCTATGGACCGCCCCCACCAAAGGGAGCCTATGAAAAGGAGCCCGCCTACGGAGCTCCGCCCAAAGGAGGCGGAGGCTATGAGGACGAATACGATGAGCCGAAGAAGATGAAGGGCGGCAAGGGCAAGCCACCTAAGGGACCTCAGTACGGGCACAACTACCCGGGCCACTACGGAGTGGATGCGGAGCCGAAGGGAAAGTACAGTAAGTGAACATTTTTCCTTAAGTACTTTTTTGTACCGAAAAAAACTTATCAACTTTTTCCTTTCTCTCAACTTATCAGTTCCCAACTACCGAAACGTCAACGGGACGGCTGTGCCGGCCATGCAAATGCCCCCACAAGGTGGTCAACAGCCTCCAATGCAGCAGCCACCACCTCCTCCTCCTCAGTTTCCGGCGGTGGCCCCAGGACAGCCCCAGGCCCAACCGCAGCCCCAGGCCCAACCTCAACCTCAACCAGATCGTCGAGGATCAGCTCAGCAGAAGACCTATCAGCAGGTCCCTGCAAACTATGGAGCCCCTCCTCCTAAACAGTACGCCCCAGCAGGTGCTCCCCAGCCAAGTTATGCTGCTGCTCCTCAGCCCCAGCCAAACTACTCAGCAGTTCCGGCGTCGTACAATGCCCAACCGAAAGTTGCCTATTCCTCACCTCCTCCTCCTCCTCCCCCTCCTCAATATTCTGCTCCCACTTCTTATGATTACTCCTCACCTTCGTACGAAAGTGACGCCCCTTCCGGCTACTCCTCAGGAGGAGGAGGATCTCCTTACGCTCCAGCAGCTAAGGAAAATCAGGTCGTGTACAGCGCTCAGGCCCAATCTTATCAACCGGCTCCTAGCTATGCAGCTCCAGCAGCCAGCTACGATGATAGCTATGCCATCAGCTCGGATGACTACGATCGAGCCAAGATGAAGGTCTTTCCCATCAAGTTCCAGCAGACGGCGCCGGAAATTGTCATTCAGGATAATCCTTATGGAGCAGCTGGAGGAGGTTATGGGGGGCCAGCGCCCGCCGGCTATGGAGCACCAGCGCCTGCCGGTTACGGGGCGCCACCGCCCCCACCGAGCTACTCAGCCCCGCCTCCGCAGAAATTCAACGTCGTTCCCTACGGCGTAAGAGCATTTAAAAATTTCAGAATATTCTCGATTTTAACTTTTACCTCTTTTCACCTCAGGGCGGTTCCTCCTATGATGCCCCACCAGCTTATGCTGCTCCAGCTCCCGCTTATTCTGCTCCACCTCCTCCTCCTCCTTCCACAGGTTATTCTGCAGGCGATTCTGGAGCCTATTCTGGAGGAGCTCCCTCGGGCTACGCTGCTCCCGCTCCAAGCTACTCTGCTCCTCCCCCTGCTCCGAGCTATTCCGCTCCTCCTCCTCCCCCAGCGTCCTATTCCGCCCCTCCTCCTCCTCCCCCAGCGCCATATGCCGCTCCTCCAGTTCCGGCGGGCGTCTACGCCCGACCTCCTCCCCTCCCAGCGCCCTACGGAGCCTACGGAGGCGGGGCGGCGGCAATGCCCGTGGGCGTGGTCAACCTTTATTGCGCCAATCCGAAGGCGCAGTGCAGCTGCACGCTCTACATGACGGAGATCAACCCCAGCAACATGCTCATCAGCGGCGTTTGTTCCGGTAAGCCTAAAATTCTTTAGAAAATCCCTAAAAATCCTCATTTTAACCCCTCTTTTTGACCCCCCATTTTTTAGGCCTCCAAGCGGACAAGTACTACGCCCTGCACATCTACGAGTACGGCGACGTCACTAGCGGCTGCGACAGCATCGGCGGCCACTACAACCCAAAGAACAGCACCCACGGCTATATGAACGGCCCCGCTTCGCACATTGGCGACCTGGGCAATATCAAAACCGATCCTAAGGGCGTGGCTTTTGTGAACAAACTCAAACGAGACTCGCTGGCCATCATGTGCGACCGCAGTGGATACAGCTTCTCGGTGTTGGGAAGATCGCTGGGGCTGAGTGATGCAAAGGACGACTATGGCCTGGGCGGATCCTATGAATCGCTGGCCCACGGAACTTCCGGTAAGGTGATTGCCTGTGGTGTGATAGGGTTGGCCAACAAGGACAACAACTACGAGACGAGGGAGGCGATGGGCAAGCGGCTGGCGGCGGCGGTCAACCAGGCCGAAGTTTAGAAAGATGATGATGAAGAAGATCTTCAGATCAGATCAAATTCTTTCTGTTATCTCAAACTCAAACTCAGACTACAACTTTTAAATTTTGCTTTTTCCAAAAACTTTCTGTTATTTAAATTTTTCGACACTAAAATTTTTCAGTTTAATCTTTTCCTCACTCAAGGTGTGTGTGCTGTGCTGTGCTGTACTGTACTGTTGT